CAGCAGGGAGATGGTGCTGTCACAGGTGCGTGGTGGAAAACTACATCTGAAATGTAATTTCAGATGTAGTTTTTGCAGATTGTGGTTTTTACTAAGACGGACGTCTGTTGTCTGAATGTAGAAGCTGAAATCCCCCTGCAATAAACACTACTGTATATACTGTACATTAGCATGCATTTAGTCCATGCTAATGTACTCCTAAATGTTGATCAAATTCATTTTTAGCAGATACAGGTGTTTCAAATTTACACTCAGAGTCATAATGAGTTTTCGTCCACTGTAATATTTTGACGAAAGATGTATTTTCAGTGTTTTATTTGGCTTAATGATGCACACTAAGGTACACCTCATATCTGCGTGAACTTTGCATTTGGCCTATTTTTGAACATTCTGTCAAATTAAATGTCTACAGTTCATTAAATAGGAAAATAACTGGTAAACAGTGTTATTTTAGTGTAATTTATATACTATTCTTTTGAATTAGCTATTATTTTTGTATTTTACATTTTTATTTTAGTTTACTTTTTAGCAATTTTGTTATGGTTTTGTCATTTTTATTAGTTTTTTTTTTTATATTTCTAGATAGTTTTTAATTTATTTTTATTTCACTTCGTACTTTTAGTACTTAAACTTGCTTCCATTAGTTGCCAAGGCAACATTTTTCATTTTCATTTATATACTATTATAGTTTTAGTAGATTTTTACAAAGCTTTTATTTTTATATTTTCAGTGTTCATATTCATTTTAGTTTATTTGTTTGAGAAATTCTATCTGCTTTTGCCATTTTTATTTGTTTTTTATTCAATATTTCTAGATATTTTTTTTTAGTTTTCCTTCCAGTTTTTTAGTACATCAACTAACACTTTAACACTTGAAAAAATGTCAGATTTTTGTTTATTTTCTGATAGTTTTCATTGATATTTTGAATTTTTATATTTTTAGTTTTAATTTTCTTTAATTAATTAAATTTTTCTTTTAGTAATTTTCTTATGTGCTTTTGTTATGATTTCTTATGTGATTTTTATTAGGTTTTTTTTATATATATTTCTAAATAGTTTCCATTTGTTTTTCAGTTAGTAATTTTAGTACTTCAACTTGCACTTACTTATGTTAGCTGCCAAGGCAACATTTCTAATTTTCATTTAAGTACTGCTATAGTTTTTATTGATATTTTGAATTAGCTTTTATTTTTATATTTTCTGTTTAATTTTTTTTTTAAATGTATTTTTGGCATTTTTATTAGCTGTTTTCTAAATCGTTTTTAATATTATTTTTATGTCAGTTGGTAATTTTAGTACTTCAAATATTATACATATACATATTTTTTTTTTTTAGAATTTTTATATTTTCGATTTTCATTGTAGTTTTTTTTTGTAATTGTAATATGTGAATTTATTTGTTGTTTTATATTTCTAAATGGCTTTAATTTATTTTTAATTCAGTTTTATTTCAGTTAGTAATTTCAGTTAATGTATTTCAGTTAGTTGCCAAGACAACATTTCAAATAATATGTCTAATATTTTAAATATTTCAAAATGTAGAAAAATTTAAGTTTTTAATAGTTTAGTTTTAGTTAACGATAACATCACCGCTTGTGAATATCAGAAAGCAGTGCAGAGACTGTGAATGTCCAGCGGTTTCATGATGAAAGATACTGTCAGAGTCCCGTTTGCTGAAGGTTTGAGATGTTTACAAACCCAAAAACATGCTTTACATTTTAGGTTTGATTTTTGGACTTGTGTTTGATCTAACCGGATGTACAGTACATGCATGTTTTGTGCTAATGACAGCAGATGAGCTGGATTAGCTGTGTTAGGTTTGTTTTGTGACGGCCTTCGTTCGTTTGTGTTCGTAGCACCGGTGGAGTCCGTCTCCGGCCCCTCTGTATGTCAGCGAGACTCCAGCGCACGTCAGGCCCCGTTCAACCACATCACCGTCTCCAAAAAGCGCCAGTGGCTCCAGCAGAGCTGCACTCGGCCCGAGGACGTCACAGCGCCCCCTGCAGCCGAGGAGGAGCGCACACAGCCACAAACACACCCTCCATCGGCCGCTAACTCACGTCTAACAGGCAAAGGTGTGTACAATTAAGCTTATGAGGTCTTGTTCTCATAGCAAATGTTTTCCAGAGTTTTTGTCCACTGGAAGTTGATCAAGAAATTAATTAATAATCAACACTTTATATCGGCTCGAACTGTACATCTGTCCCTTTTTTCTTTTGTGTCAAATTAAATATGAATACTCCTCGTATGTGTAAACATGCCTGGCAATAAAGCTCTTTCTGATTCTGATTCTGATAATCACCAAAAATGTAACTAAAATTAAAATGAAAACTAAAACTGAAATGCATTTTTTTCTCTAGTATGTCACTGTTCTGAAATGTAACATTTTTAGAAATGTTCATTAAAACCGAAAGTAATAAAAATGACAAACGCACGTAATAAACTAAAATATTTTTAATTTTAGTAATTTTATGTGCTTTTGTTAATTTTTATTCATTTTAATTTTTAGTTTTTTTTTTTTCATTTTTCAAGTGCTTTAGGAATTTAGTACAAGACAACATTTCTAATTTTCGCTTACTTTACGTTTTATGTCTAGTGTTTTTATTATTTTACTTTATTTCGGTTTTATTTCAATTAACAAAAATGTGTTTTTGATAGTTTTAGTTAACGATAGCAACACTGGTTGTAAATATAAGAACAAAATTACAAAAATTACAAAAAAGTAACTAAAATTAAAATGAAAACTAAAACTGAAAAATACATAAAGTAAAAGAAATATTATATATGACTTCACTTCATTAAGCTACAGTTCGTTAAATAGAAAAATAATTATTTATATACTATTATTTTACATTAGCTTTTATTTTTGTATTTTCACTTTTCAGTTTTTTTTTTCATTTTAGGTTGTTTTGTTTTGTAATCGTGTTATTTTGTCTTTTTTTAGTTTTTGTATTTTTGTATTTCTAAATAATATCATTTATTTAATTTATTTTTATTTCAGTTTTAGTTTTATTTCAGTTCAAGTGCTTTTGTCATTTTATTCGTTTTTTATATTTCTAAATAGTAAATTTTTTTAATTTATTTTAATTTCAGATTTTGTTTTCAACATTTCAAATTTTCATTTACTTTTAATATTTTAAATTTATAATTAATAACATTTTATATTTTAATTTTAATGTTATATTTATACTAATATTTAGATTTTATTTCAGCTTTATTTAATTGAACACAAAATGTTTTTAATAGTTTTATTTGATAACAACACTGCTTGTAAATCTAAGAATACAGTGCAGATACTGTAAATGTCCAGTGGTTTGATGGCGTTTCATTCACGTCTACAGAAGCGCCGGACCCAGCCGAGGACAACGCCGACGCCGACGAGGGAGAGATCTGGTACAACCCCATCCCAGAGGATGAAGAGGGCGATCTGCCGAACTGTGTTCCCGCCGTCAGAATCCAGACGGGACGAGCGAGAGACGAAACACAGACGCAGGAGGAGAGCAGAGCCACAGGTGCAGCCACTTTTCATGTGGTTTTAATGAGCTTTCATTCAGGAATTGGTTGTAAATCGGACAAATAATTAAATAGAAATGACAAGTAACACATTGAATTAAATGTATCATTTTGAAGTCGGAAGACTGGAATGTTATTGTTTTGTAAAACATGCTGAAAAAAACAACATTTTTTACAATGAGTGTTTTTTGTAAGGCTGCACAGTTTGGCCCACAAATCTGTGATTATGTATCAAAAAGACTATATAATAATAATCAATTATTATTATTTTATCATATTACTAAAATGAGAAATATTGCTATAGCTATATTTCTCTGTAAAATAATGTGAAGAAAATAATAATAATGATTAAAAATAAAAAATAATATTTATTATTATTATTATTATTATTGAATTATATTACTAAAATGAGAAATATTACTATGATATTTACTAAAATTATACTGTAATAGACTATAAAATAATTAAAAAAATAAAAATAATAATAATAAATTAATATTATTTTATGATATTACTAAAATGAGAAATATTATTTTAGCTATATTTCTCTGTCAAATAATGTGAAGAAATTTTTGTATTTCTAAATAATATCATTTATTTAATTTATTTTTATTTCAGTTTTAGTTTTATTTCAGTTCAAGTGCTTTTGTCATTTTATTCGTTTTTTATATTTCTAAATAGTAAATTTTTTTAATTTATTTTAATTTCAGATTTTGTTTTCAACATTTCAAATTTTCATTTACTTTTAATATTTTAAATTTATAATTAATAACATTTTATATTTTAATTTTAATGTTATATTTATACTAATATTTAGATTTTATTTCAGCTTTATTTAATTGAACACAAAATGTTTTTAATAGTTTTATTTGATAACAACACTGCTTGTAAATCTAAGAATACAGTGCAGATACTGTAAATGTCCAGTGGTTTGATGGCGTTTCATTCACGTCTACAGAAGCGCCGGACCCAGCCGAGGACAACGCCGACGCCGACGAGGGAGAGATCTGGTACAACCCCATCCCAGAGGATGAAGAGGGCGATCTGCCGAACTGTGTTCCCGCCGTCAGAATCCAGACGGGACGAGCGAGAGACGAAACACAGACGCAGGAGGAGAGCAGAGCCACAGGTGCAGCCACTTTTCATGTGGTTTTAATGAGCTTTCATTCAGGAATTGGTTGTAAATCGGACAAATAATTAAATAGAAATGACAAGTAACACATTGAATTAAATGTATCATTTTGAAGTCGGAAGACTGGAATGTTATTGTTTTGTAAAACATGCTGAAAAAAACAACATTTTTTACAATGAGTGTTTTTTGTAAGGCTGCACAGTTTGGCCCACAAATCTGTGATTATGTATCAAAAAGACTATATAATAATAATCAATTATTATTATTTTATCATATTACTAAAATGAGAAATATTGCTATAGCTATATTTCTCTGTAAAATAATGTGAAGAAAATAATAATAATGATTAAAAATAAAAAATAATATTTATTATTATTATTATTATTATTGAATTATATTACTAAAATGAGAAATATTACTATGATATTTACTAAAATTATACTGTAATAGACTATAAAATAATTAAAAAAATAAAAATAATAATAATAAATTAATATTATTTTATGATATTACTAAAATGAGAAATATTATTTTAGCTATATTTTTCTGTAAAATAATGTGAAGAAAATAATAATAATGATAAAAATAAAAATTAATAATACTATTATTATTATTATTATTATTATTATTATTATTGTAAAATAAATATAAAACAAAAATAAATATTTTGTACAGTCTTTGCTTGTTTGTAAGTCTGCACAGTTTGACCCCAAAATATGTGATTATATATTTTAAAAAGACTATATAATAATAATAATAATAATAATAATAATAATAATAATAATGAATGGATGTTACCAAAATGAAAAGTATTACTAGCTATATTTCTCTGTAAAATAATGTAAAGAAAATAATAATAAATAATATTATTATTATTGAATTACATTACTAAAATGAGAAATATTACTATATTTACTATAATATGACTGTAATATTTGACTAATTTGAGTAAAATAATAAAAAATAATAATAATTCTTATTTCATTTTAAACATAAGCATTTATTATTAAATGTGAAATTTTGAAGCAGAAAGACAGAAAGAGTATTTTCTTGTAAAAATGTACTCCAAAAAAATAAATAAAAATTAAAACGTTAAAAAATAAACATTTTGTACAGTTTTTGCTTGTTTGTAAGTCTGCACAGTTTGGCCCCCAAATATGTGATTATATATAAAAAAACGCTATAATAATGATAATATTAGTAATAATAATTAATGTTATTTTATGTTTGTTACAAAAAATATGAAACAATATGAGACGTGAAGAATTTTTTTTTAAATATTTGATTTTAAATATTATTTTACAGAGCAACAGTAAAATTGCAATTTAATGTCCATGGTATTAATTTCCTAATTTTCAAAGGTTAAACCGCTTTTATTTAGCTGGAAAACCACAGGCAGCCCTTAAAGCTTAATAAAAGGTTTATAAGCACTTCTTATTACAAGTTTGTGAAGATGTTTGGCGCATGTTGTGTTTTCAGATGCAGGTTATGAGCCTCCCAAACTCAGAAACAGAGATGAGTTCACATGAAGCAGCATTTACTGTGAACAAAGATACTGAAAACACCGGATCATGAGCTGCTCGCGTGTAAATGAACACAGTGCCGCGCTTCACTCTTAAAGGTCCCATGGCATGAAAATGTCACTTTATGAGGTTTTTTAACATTAATATGAGTTCCCCTAGCCTGCCTATGGTCCCCCAGTGGCTAGAAATGGCGATAGGTGTAAATATTTAGATTTTTCTGCACCCTCAGATTCCAGATTTACAAATATTGTCCTATCCTAACAAACCATACATAAATGCAAAGCTTATTTATTCAGCTTTCAGATGATGCATAAATCTCAATTTTGAAAAATGGACCCTTATGACTGGTTTTGTGCTCCAGGGTCACATATCATCTCTGGCTCTCAGGACTCTTGCAGCTCTATGTTTAGCGTCGTATGAATGTGTGGCATTATTCACTAATGCAGTCATGTCTATTAAAGACTCCTGTCAGCGAACTAGTGAAGCTGTCAGCATAACGCTTCCCTTGAGCTGAAATACTAGCTACAAACACATCTTTGAGTTAATGTCTGTTAGCATCGGCTCTGTTTGTTTGACCAGCGCTCGTGTGATGTGGTCACATTCATTAAGCTGATCATGTTAAACCTGTAATTAACGTCAGGTTGGATCTGAGAGGGCGAATTTCTGCTCTGTTATATGAAGTGACTTTTTGTCTGTTAGATTTTGTGACGTATTTGAGCTTTTTGAGTGTAAAAATCAACCTGCTGCTTAATCTCACGTTAGTGCTTTAATGTGTTTTAAAAATAGCTTTTTTAAATTGCATTTCACTTGCAAACAGTAGTACAGAAAAATGTTGTCGCATGCAGGGTTATTAATGTTAACTAAAACTAAAAATAATAAAACATTTTGCAAATTGAAATAAATCTTAAATAAAGTTTAGTTTAAGTTGAAGTACTAAAATGTATTATAAAATAAATAAAAGCTAAAATTAGAGCAGAAATAAACCTAAATAGTGATATAAACTAGTAAAATAAACAAAAACAAATAAAACTGATAACAGCACAAAACTGAAAGTATAAAATTAAAAGCTAGTTAAAAAGATGGATAAAAACTATAATAAATCATTTTAAAAAAATTGCGCATTTAAAAATAAAGTTACAATAAAATATAAATAGTAGATGAAAAACAAACTTATTACTGTTAGTTGTCAAGGCAACGTTTCTATTTTTTTATTTTATTTATATTTATGAAAATTACTAACTGGGAATAAAATAAAATGAAATACTAAATGGAACTAAAACTAAAACTGTAATAAAAATAAATTAAACCTTAATAGTATTATTTAAAATAAAATAAAAAATAACTAATAAAAATGACAAAAGCACAAATCAAGATAAACTCAAATTAAAATAAAAAAAACGAAATATATTTCTATAATATACATTTAAGTAGTATTTAAAATGAACAAACTAATAAAAATGACAAAAGCACATTAAAAGGTACTAAAAAAAATAAGTAAAATTATAAAATAAAAAAATATTTATTCAAAATATGCATAAAAACTATAATAGTATATGAATAATATTAAAATAACACTGGTCACATGATATGTGAAATCAAGAGCACTGCATTGTGTGGTTTGTTGTATAATGTACACTTTAGCAAATGTAGTAGCTCATGCAGGTATTCGATGCATACTGTGGAAATAGCACAGGTAGTATGTTGGTGTGCTATTTTGATTTCTGAACACAGTCCAGGTCTGGATCTGTCCCGGAACATAAAGTCCACTTTTTAGATAAAATCTATGTTTTCTTGGTCAAATATCTTGTTTCACTTGAAGCTGTTACTTTACAAAAGCGAAATGGTTGTTTTATGTCTTTTAAAGGTCATTTTGTGACTCTTCAGTGTTGATGTGAAGTTCTTCAGTGCACTGGTTGAGCTTCTGCCACGTTTGTGTGAGAAGCGTGCTCGTGTGTGCGTGCAATTGAGTGTGTGTGTGAGTGTGTGTGTGTGTGTG